GGCGCAGAGAGCTAAGCACTCAGTTAATAAATCTCTTAGAAGACTAGCTCCTATTTTCCTGTCGCCTGAAGGAAAACCGCAAGTTGCTGTTCCTGATGCAGTGTTTCAAAGGGGAGCAGAGCTTCACAAAGAATACTTGGTTGGAACATTTTTAGGTAAAATGCCTGATTATGGTCCAATTCAAAGTGTGTTGAATTTCATGTGGGGAAAAGGAGTGAAGTTAGAAATTCATATGCAACCCCACAAGAGATCCTTCCTAGTTCGTGTTCCTAATGAATTCATCAGAACTAAGGCATTGGAAAAGAGACTATGGTATGTAGGTACCTCAATGTTTCATGTTTCCCAATGGGGATCCGCTACAACATCGGTTATCCAAGAGATCAAGTCTATCCCACTATGGGTTCACCTCTCAGGCGTTCCTTTTGATCTTCGAACAAAAGAAGGTCTCAGTTTGGCAGCACGGCTCGTTGGAGAACCTATTGAAACTGATGATTATACAAAGAACCTCACTGACCTCAATATAGCTCATGTCAAGGTAGAAGCAGATCTTACTAAACCTTTGCCCTCTTCTGGGGAACTTCTCCGACAGAATGGGGAGATCATTCCAATTCAAATAGAGTACCCTTGGGTCCCACCTTCCTGTACTCTCTGTGGTCGCATTGGACATGTGTTAAAGGACTGCATTTACCTGCCTACTCCTAATGAAAAGGAAGTTGCATCAGAGCAAGTAAATACTGCTCAAATGGTGATTTCTGATCCCCCAGACTCAGACGTCCCTCTGGAAGGTACTACGCAAGAACAAGTTCATATCAACTCCAGCTTGGAACCTGCTGTCCCGGACCCTCCAGATCACGATGAAGAGGTCCCTGACTTTATTGAAGTTGTTCCTGGCCCTGTGGTGACTGATATGTCTATTGATAATCAATCTCCTCCTGTTTTAAGCACTAAGCCTTGTTCTTTAGCCCCTTTAACTACCTCTCTAACCTCTCCTCCTTGTCAAACTATCCTTTTCTCATCATCCCCAACCAAAGCCTCTTTTGTTTTTGGTATTCCTGCTACCTATGCCCCAACTTATGGTTCCTACATCTCAACTAAAAAAGCCTCCGCCTTCAGTGCCCCTTCAATCACCTTGCCTCCTCAATTCACCTGCCCTTCTCGTCCTCCTCTTATTTTTCCTGGCCAAAAAAAAACACAACAATCAGTAAACCAACCTAAAATCTCTTTTGAACCGCCTCCTAATACCCACCCGAAGGTTCCACCACATGGTGGAACTTCTCCCATAACCCTTTAATATGTGTACACAAACATTTTTTTGGAATGTCCGCGGACTAAATGAAGCGGATAATCACACTCTTTTTTCTCAATGGCTAAATTATAATAAGCCTCTTTTTGGTGCTATTTTGGAATCACATATTAAGGTACCTTTTCTCAATCCCATAATGTCCAAACTCTGCCCCAGATGGCATTTCTTATCTAACAACCAATCGGATGCAGATGGAAGGATTATTTTTTATATGGAGATACCCTACCTCAGTCAAGGTGTTGGCGCAATCACGTCAGTCTCTCACCACTGAGTTCACCATTCCTAACCAACCTCCTCTCACTGTTACCTCTATCTATGCATCTAATCTTGCTGGGGAAAGGACGGATCTGTGGGCGGAATTGATTAATATCCAGCAGCAGTGCTCTCTTGATCTCAAACGTTGGCTAGTGGCAGGTGATTTTAACCAAATCACTCATCCAGCTGAACACTCATCTCCTACTGTCCAAACGTTATCATCAAACATGATTAACTTCAGAGATACATTGCTTCAGCTTGGATTATTTGATCTCAGATATCAGGGTATCTTTCATACATGGTCAAACAAGCGGCCAACTTCTCCCATCACAAAGAAGCTTGACCGTGCACTTGTTAACTGTGAATGGATCTTCTCCTATCCCAGCAGCTCTCCCACGTTCTTACCACCTGAATTTTCAGACCATTCAGCCTGCCTCTTAAACCTAGCCACCCCACTCCCTATTGCGGGTACCAAGCCGTTCAAATTCTTCAACTACCTTACCCAACACCCTCAATTTCTTACTGCTGTGAATGACGCTTGGATTCTTGCCGGAATCTCTTCATCAACTCTCGCTGATCTCTGCTAGAAACTCAAATCACTAAAGAGTGTTCTTAAGAGCTTAAATAGGGAGAACTTTTCCAAAATACAAGAGAGAGTGATTTATGCTAATGAATTGCTTAAGATTGTGCAGGTTAAAGCTCTACAGGACCCTACTACAGCTAATTTTTAGGAGGAAAAAACAATGCATGAAAAATGGATGTTTTTGAGGGGAATTGAAGAAGCTTACTTTCTACAGCGTTCACGAATAAGCTGGCTAAAAGAAGGGGATTTCAACACTTCATTCTTTCATCGTGTGGCTGTTGTACGTGCAACAATCAAGACCATTAGATCTTTTCCCCTTCCCACTAGAGCTCTCATCACTGATCCAGAAGAAATGGCAATTCACGCTGTAAATCACTTCAAATCAATCCTGGCTCCTCCAGTATTGCCTTTCTGTGTAGTAGTTGTCTCTTGGTTCCAGCGACTCTTTCAGTATCGCTGTTCTCCTGAAGCTTGCTTATCTCTGTGTTCAGTTCCAGATGCAGCAACAATTTCAAAAACAATCTTCAGACTTAACCCAAATAAATCTCCTGGCTCAGATGGGTTGACTTCGGGTTTCTTTAAGGGATCATGGAGGATCCTAGGGGAAGAGGTTGTCAACTCGATCCAACAGTTTTTGTCTCTGGATTTATGCCATCTGCAGTGAACTCAACGATCCTTACAATGGTTCCAAAGCATCTTGGAGCGTCAGCAGTTGGAGAGTATAGACCAATCTCGTGTTGCACAACGCTATACAAAGCAGTCTCTAACCTATGCTGCCTGATCTTATCCTCCCTAATCAAACGACATTTGTAAAGGGTCGACTCTTGGTTGAAAACACTGTTCTAGCTACTGAACTGGTCAATGGTTATCACAAATCAGTGGGGCCAAAAAAAATAGTTATCAAGGTTGATATCGCTAAGGCCTACGATACCATAAGCTGGAGCTTTGTGCTCAATTGTTTATCAGGAATAGGAGCTCCAGCGCAGTATGTCAGACTAGTAGAAGCATGCATCACTACAACATCATTTACAGTGGGTTATAATGGACAAGTTCATGGCT